GAGAGATTCTCATACAAAATAAGCGTCATAGAATTTCCTTGAATGGACTCATTACTCACGCATTTTCATGCTGTAAATCTCTGCGATGATTGTAACAGAAATGACGAATCGCACGAACACCGAAGCAATTCATTCTCGTTCAATTCCACTTTGCGGTTGGATGACTCATCTATAGATTCGTAATGTTGCAACCCTAGAAGTAGAAATGAGTGTCCCTTTCCATCTTAAACCAGTTGTGTTGAAAAAATACTTTCAGAGGGATCATTGCAACGTCGCATGTCTATGACAAATTATGTCGGGAACGATGTTAAGGATCTCATTAGACAAACATTAAAAGTGATCAGATCACTTGTCAATAAGTAAGCATTTCTTCTTTTTGTGTTGTTTGATTTTTTAAAATATTTTTATTTGCCGCTAAGATTCATTTTATGTACGAGTATCTGCTTCAGTGGTTATTGTTTTTTCCCTTGTGTTTACCATAGGTCGTAGCATGAGTATTTGCGTGACTTATAACCAACAGAACACATTTGCGTGCGTAATATGGGAAGCCGTCGATGAGATAAGCTTCGCCTTTTATAGCGCTCCTCACTTCGCACAATATACTAGTTTTTTTGGAACGGGCTTTGAATGTTTTTGCAGTCTCTTAGGTGGACAGGATTTTCTTTCTGCTGAGAGTGTAAAATAATCATATGTAGGATTATGAACAACTTGTATTAATTACAACTGTTACGACTGCTCACACCATTCAGATAAGCTGGTTATGTTTCAGTGAGCAAGATCCACCAGCATCACTTCTCAAGCTCAATATGATTGCTGAACGAGAAAAAGGCTGGCTATTGGTCGTAGAGTCATTAATAGAGACGGTGAGCTCTCAGCTGATTTATCAATAAAAAACCGTTAATTCATTCATTTTATTTAGGTGCCTGATGATGATTCTTTGGGACCAGCTGTAATTACTCTATTTCTTGATGAATGTCCTCTTCCATCAAAGGTATGGCGTTAGTTGTCTACCTTCATCTCACTTGCTTTATACCAAAATTCATACACAGGACACAGTCCATAGACTTCTATGCTCTCTTCGACTAGACCAAGCTTCCTCATCTTCATCAACTAGAAAACGAAGTTGGCATCGAAATACTTGTATTGTCCTCGGTAAGTATTTGGCCGCAGCTTCTTACGTCTAGATAAATTTGCTGTTCACACTTTTTTCTTTGAAGGCTCTTTGGCAGAGAAGCTGGCTGGCAGCAGCAGTGTAGCAATGTGCAACCCCACGACGTTAAACTATCTTATTTCAAGAATCGTAAGT